TTAATTCCGTCATAGTGAGTTTTTATAGTGTACAGAGGCGTTAACATGTCCAGAATTGGTACACAATAGACGCGTCGAAGTTCATTTCTTACATCATCATCGTCATCATCATCATTATCATCGTACAGCGAAATACAGAGAAGCAAACTTCACTGATAGCTGCCGAACTCGTAATGCGTATGCAGTAGGGTTTGATGGACGGATACTGCTAGGGTGTCCAGCCACTACGCAGGAGAACGATTAGGGTTCTCAACCAAAGCCTTTAGTTATAACAAGAACCTAACCGGAAGGCAACGGGTGAAGCGAAGTGGAGGCCTATTTACTTGGATCAATTACTCCTCCACCATTTTTTACCAACTTAAACACAAATTCTAGTCGAACCCCCAACATGGAGGACCAGGAGACCGAACTTCGTTCGACCTTAAAGGCATGATTAGATCTTCGGTTTGACAAAAGCCATCCTATTTAGCTCGTTGGGGTCAGAGAGGTGCACAAGCCATCACACCACGTCAAGATGCAGTCTCGTCGTGATGGAACAAACTTGTAACCTCGTAACTTCTCCTTCAGGCATTTACCGTTGTTTCTATACATGAATGTGAATGCCTGGAGAAGAATAAGTCGCGAAATTACAAGTTGGTTCGCTATATGGTTTGTCTCAATGTCACGCCTGACCAAGCGGGAACCTTACAGGGTTCACCAATCCAAGCCGGTTTCAATCACGGAAACAGCGAGTCTTCGCGAAAATATATGTATCAATAAGTTTACTTTAATATTACCATATTTTTATACTAATAGCCGAAGTGCAATCCGAGTTCACGACACTTTTTCACCCGAGTTTATGCCGGATAGTGGCGTTCGTCGGGGTTGCCCTCTCTCCTTTTTCAGCTTAAATTTGTTATCGATTTGATTGTGGAAACAGCCCCATCCTCGTGCGAGGATATCAGCATAGATTTGCCCTCGGAGTACAGACAGTCTGATCTGGAATACACAGACGACACCGTCCTCTTAAATGAAGATCCAGGCAAGTCGCAAGCTGTTCTGGATAGCTTGAGTGCCAGTATAGCCATGTTCGGTATGGTTTGCACCTTCAAAGTGTAAAATGTTGCCTCATGACGGAGTTGGTCCAGCACCCAACCTCATCCTAACTGAGAAGGTATTAGAGCAAGTGGATAAGTTTTGTTATTGGGGCGGCTACATCTCACCGGGTGGACGAATCATGAATGAAGTGTCAGCTCGCGTACTGAAGGCTCGACTGCTATTTTTTTATTACACACAGTGAATTACAGTAAACGGGGAGATATATATATATTTAACACCCGCTTGAAAACAAGCATGGTGCCAACGCAACAACAATAACAACAATGAAAATGAAAGGGGACTCGGAAGAGCAGAGCTGTACGCTACCGAGCGCGTCCCAGGTCGCGAATAGGGGAACGGCCGCCATCCCGCGGCTAACCGCGAATAAGATGGGCTTCGGCCTACCGAATAAGCGGTCGCGGACGAAAAGCGGCAGCGCTCGTAAATGTGGTGGGTTTACTATTGGCAATGGTTCTCCGCTCAAAACACCACATACATCTGCGGAAAGCGCTGTGACGTGGCGAGTGTGGCCCGCAACTAAATATGGTCATGTCCCTTGTCGGGATCCATTGCTCGATAAGCTTTTCCAGAAGAGGCGAATGAACCGACGACTGGCCACCGGATCATTTGGAACATTACTCCTGCTTTGCAGTCCGCGCTTGGTGGCGCAAAGGCTAGAGTGCATCCTCGAACAACGCCTACTCTGGATCGGACGACCGCGTAGTACAACATGTCTAAGAATACAACGATCGTCGGTCTCTGATAAGCATGACGGTGCTCTAGCAATTGATTCCCCCCATGAGGAGGG